GTACTGCCCATGTTAGGTAAGTTCATGTTTGCTAACAAGTCTTGTTTTTGCTGTTTTCCTCTCATAGGGCAAGGTGAAAGGCAAAAAGCTGCAAAGCATGTTGGGAAGCCTACGGACCTCCCATCTGGGCCCTTGTGGTGATGGACATTATCAAGGGCCTTCGGGTCAGAAGGTAGAACTACAGAGACAATCCCTCAGTGCCTTGCAGCCTGGTGTTAACACTGGTACTGTGATCTTGGGGAAGGTGCTATTCAGCCTGACTACTGAGGAAAAAGTGCCTTTGTGAGTAGAATTTTGAATCTTTCCTGCCCTGCTATCACCGATTTCTGGTGTTGGCTTTCACAGCCTATGTCTGTTAGGCAGTGTTGGACTTCAGGGTTTAGTGACCTGGGTGTAGAGCAGGGATGAGCAACTATGGCAATATTACGACCTGTGGACTTCAACTCCCAGAGTTCCTGGCTCAGGAATTCTGGGAGTTGAAGTCCATTGGTTGTGAAATTGCCATAGGTGCCCAACCCCTGAGCTGGAGAACTGTGGCTGGCATCTAAGGAGGCAAAGTTAACACAGACCAGAGGCAACATCATTTTCCTTCTGAGGATGGCAACCACAGCTTCTAGCGATTCAGAGGGTTTTAAAGATTGATATAGAAGTTGAGACCAGAGATGATTTTTTGGGGTGGGTGGGTGTGTGGAATTGATGGACAAAGAGTTGCAAAAGGTTGTGGAATTTTGTTTATACGACAACTATAGCAAGATTATTGTATGCGCAAAGATGGAAAGATTTGGACCACTGGCGATGGAAGAACGGTTGGCAAAGATGACAGAATTTGCTGAGATGGCTGAATTGACTTCTTTGATCAGAGAAAAGACAATATATATGTTTATTGATATAAATTTATGATTTCTGGCAGAGGTGGGCAGCTATGGCCCCTTTATGACCTATGTGTCAAGGTTCCAACTGATGATCCCAACGAAGTAAGCACAGCTGAGACTTTCAAATCTCTAATGAAAACTTTATTGAGCACACCATTTCGGCACAGATGAATAGAAAACCGGTTCTGAATAATTGGCGCCAAAAATTAGTATATTAAAGTATAGAAACTCCCCTCCCTCCTAATAGTTCAGGTCACATTGTCCAGTAATGGGTCAGACAGTTGTTGTGAGAAAAAGTCTTCAGTTCTTTCTAAACAGCTTTTGAGAGACCTTGATTCTCACAACCTGGCAGCTTGCACCTGCAGTCCATATTCCATTCCTCCCTCCTCCCCTCTGAGTCTGTAGGCCAGCTAAGAAGCAATAATGGATGAAGCAGCATAAGCAATCTTCACAGCTTGACACTATGGACTTCAACTCCCAGAATTCCTGAGCCAGCCAGGCTGGCTCAGGAATTCTAGGAGTTGAAGTCCACAGGTTGTAAAGAGGCCATAGCTGCCCACCCCTGATTTATGATTTAGTAACTGCCTCTTGAATTCACAACATGGACTACAATAAAGATCTTTATTGAATACTAGTTGTACCCAGCTACGTGTTGCTGTGGCTCAGTCTAGTAAATACATGTGTTGCTTTTATGTCCAACAGATGGCACTGTTTTTCAAAAAAAGCATGTTTTTACCTATCACAGGTGTGACATCTATATAATATAGGTATATAAAAACACGTGCGTATTCGAATGCAACGTTGTGTCAAAATTTCAAAACAATCGGTGAAGAACTTTCAGAGATTTAAGATTTTGAACAAACGAACATTTACATTTTTATTTATATAGAAGATGTTTGGCTTAAATTGCGCAACAGGGGCAATAATTGACTTATTTCAATTTTTCCACTTTCTGTTCTCCAACAGCACCTTCGGATTGGTAGACTCGCTTGAAGGCCCTTGTTTTGCTGTCACTGTTTACAACATGGTACAAAGCTGGGGGGTCCTAATTGGGGACTCGGTGGCCATCCCTGAACCGCATCTTCGGCACCATCACATCCAACACCAGAACAAAGTGAGTCTACTCTCCCTATTCCCCCTTTGTCTCTCCTATGTCATGCCATGAATCAAGTTCAACCTTAATCAGAGCCTTCCACAAATAATCTAAAGCTTATAACGGGCAACCTGGAATTACAGAC